TGCTAGGATTACAGGCATGCACCACCAGCCTGGCTTGTGGACTCAGGTGTGTCCCTGCTGACAGCACCGCCTCATGATCGAATGAAGCTTATCTCTCTCACAGTGTTTTCTCTTTAAGGCACAGTACACCCTCTTTTTTTTTTTCTTGAATGCTCTTTTTCCATCTTCATGGAGATAGCACTGATGAATAAAATTTTACATATTTAAATGTACAAGAACAGCACAGCCTCTCACCTAGGAACACCAGATGGCACTTTATCACTGTTGCTTAGCGCCATTTTGAACATGAAAATCACCAGCAAAAAAGCCCAAGAAAATATAGTGCTAAGTATACTATGAAAGGGACACTGGTTTGCAGTACAAAAGCTGGAGGGAGAACACAGAACCTGGCCTTTTGTGGCCTCAGCTGGGGACACACTTGGGGGGTCTCGTTTTTTCATGGCTCTGTACCATGTCTACAAATGACCAGGAGAGAGCCACCAGCAAGCAGGTGACTTTGCACATACAGGCTCTGTGAATGATGAGAACAAACTGTAATCACAAAAACTATCTAAACTGACCATCACTAAAGGAAATCAAAGTCAAAAGACACCGCTTTTGTGCTGAGAACTTAGATATAGGCTGATGGTTCACCCAGGTCAGTTTAGATGCAGGAGAAGAGACTGAGGCTGGAAGGAAGGAGCTGATTCTACACAGAGGTCCCAGAGAGGGGCACCACCTGTCACGCAGGGCAACACAAGCAGTGCCAGGCTTGGGTCACGTACCAAGGGACAGGAGGGAGGGGAAAGTCTAGGCAAGTGTCTTTATGGGCATGACTTTGATTTCCTTTAGTGATGGTCAGTATCCTGTTACGTGCTTATTGGCCATTTGGTCCTTTGGAGAACTATCTATTGCTGTCCTTTGTGTATATCTAATTAATTTGCTTTCATTTTGTTGTTGGACTTTTAGAAATCTTTATATAGTTTAGGTACTAGTTACATATTTTTCCTTTTTGCTTATGTTTTTGGTGCTGTATCTGATAAGTCCTTGCCAAATACAAGGGCTAAAAATTTACTTGTATGACATAAGAAAACTTCTGAGACTTCTCTTATATTAAAAATTTTTATCCATTTTGAGTTAATTTCTGTATACAGTGTGAGGTAGGGATCCAGCTGAAGACACTGCTCTTTTTTCACAAAATTGTCTTGGCATACAGTGGTTTTTTCCCCCAATTTTTTAACCATTTTAAATGTACAGTTCAGGAGCACAAGTGCGTCAATTGTTGTGCAAACATCTTTCCATCCATCTCCAGAACTCTTTTCTTTTTATAAAACCAAAATTTCCCATTAAACCGCAACTTTCCAATTCCCCTTACCCCTGTTCTCTGACACCCATCATTCTTCTTTCTGTCTCCACAAGTCTGACTAGTCTAGTGAATTCCTGTTAATATGGGAAAGAAAACTAAACCCACGCTATTTGTGTTCCAGTGCCATTTTAAAGCTTCAGTTTCTGTTTCCTTAAGTTTGTTTCTTAAAAACGTTGTCATAGTTACCTACCCTGATACCACCCCATGCTCTGTCACAAGACTGCTTCTCCCCTATGCAAAATGTCAAACACCTTTGTTCCTTTGTCATGAGGTAAGCGCATGTTTTGTGGTCTTTCTATAGCTGCACTAAATCATATCAGCACCTCCCCCCAAAGACCCGGAACTAGAGCTGTATAACTGCCCTCCCCTCCTGCCCTTTGGGGTCAGTGCTCAGTCATGTACTGGGTGCTCACCACTGGCCCCCAGTGAGCTTGCTTGTCTCTGCATCCGGCCTCCGTGGGTGACTCAGTTAAATAAGCGCCTCTGCCACAACACTGTGAGTGGAGTCACTCGGTATTTATCTGTTTGTTACTGGCCTATTCTATTGAGCGTAATGTTCTCTAAGTTCACCCATGTGCCAGAATTTCCTTCCTTTTAATCGGCAGGTAGTATTCCTTCGTATGTGCGCATCTCATACTGCTTGTTCCATCTTCTGTGGGTGGACATTTGTGTTATTTTTACTTTTATTGTGAGTAATGCTGTTAGGAGTTAAAGTGTACAACATGTACTGCTTTTTTTTTTTTTGGTTTTGTTGTTAAGACAAGGTCTCCTTCTGTAGTCCAGGCTGGGCTCCACTTTTTATAGGGAGAGATACATCTCTTAGAAGCTTTCCAGCACATTCTCCCCACATTTCCTTGCGTAGACTTCTCTCATAGGTTCACGGTTAACCCGAAGCAATGGGCCACAGTATTTAGACTGTAAACTGCAGGCAAATGTTTAGAGTCTAGATGTTAGTAGGTGATAATCCATGCCTTCTGATTAAGGGCTGGACATCTCTCTCCTGAAGCAGCTGACTGTGAGGAGGAGGGTGGGTTCTCTTTAAAAAGGGAGACGACATGAGAGTTGTAAGTCAGGCCATTACACTCTGCTTCCACGACTCACTGAAGGTAAATACAGAGGCCGGGGGAAGCTCAGCAGTATGTATGATTTCTGTTTTGCCATCTCCAGGCTGGTGAATATTTCTCTATGGTCCTGTCATCTTTGGTCACTGTCTTCTTCTTCTTCTTCTTCTTTTTTTTGCTGGCTTTTTACTTTTCTCTCTTCAAAATCTTTCTTTCCTTTCTTTGGTACTCTAATTTGCTACATTCCAATTCTCAGAATTTGTGCTTTGCCCCCAGTCTTAACAAAGGCCAGCTCTGGCCTGAGGATTTTGTACCCCTGGTACTGAGAATCGAACTCAGGTCCTTGTGCCTGCCAGGCAGGTGCTTGTGCCACTGAGCTGTATCCCTGGCCCCTTGAAGCTTTGTTGTCTTTTTCATTCTCATTAAACGCTGGGTGCAGGGGTGAGTTCAGGCCTTCCTTGGCTCCTCAACACATTTAAACTAGCGTGCCCTGCTCGTAGGTAAAAATCGTGTTCCTTAGACACTTCCCTGCCTCATCTCTGCTGCCTGTTGACTTCTTGGTTACCGGGTCTCATCTCCATCCACCCAACCCAGAGGGATATGCTGTATTCAGCTCAAATCTTTCCCTGAAATCCTGGGTACAACTGGCTCCCAAGCATAGCCATGGGACAACTTTTAAACATTTCCAGATCAACGTGTCGAAGATTGCAAAGCTGGAAACCTTCAAGTCTCCCTTTATTCCTTCTCTTACTCCTACCTCCTCTTGATTCTATCTTAACATCTCTGACCAATCTTTTGCTCTTTCCATAGCATTATTTTATCTTATATCTCCCCTTGAAAAAAACCTAATTATGAAAACAATCTCCTGACTGGTCTTGCTCCCCCAATCCACCCTTTGTACCACACCTAGCAGCCTAAAATATAATCTGATTCTGTCAGTGCATAGATGGTTCCCTTCAAATCCAAGTTTACTTCAAGATCACTATCAGAGTACACAACAGCTCCTGTGTGTCTTTCCATGCTTTGTCGTATCATTCCCACCAACCCAAGCTCCTGCTACAATGAATTTATCCTAAAGGGGTTGAGACACCCTCTTTTGCAGCTAGTTGATGCTTATTTTTATCACTTAAATGATTCGGGGCTTCCTTCTTTGGGATCCTTCGATTTGAGAGTAACTGGCCTTCCCAGCGCTCTTAGCACTAGTCTATACCTCTGTCACAGTGCCTACCACTATGTATTTTGGAACCATAAACTCCACATCCGAAAATCCTTATATTCCCAGGACCTAGCACAGTTCTGTTTGAGTGTTAGTTGCTGTGAAGACATCCTGTGCATCACGTCAGGCCTAAGGTTTTCTTTGTAGCACTTGCTGCAGTATGAGAAGAAAAAGAAGTTAGAAAACTGTTGCATTAGGTAAGGAAGCTGAGTCCACCGAAGATGTTTTCAAAATTCTGAGGATTCTGTGTGTTTGTGGGGTGGGGTAAAGGGGGCAGAGGAGAGATGGAAATGGAAGATGTAGGAGAAAGGATTGAAATACGGAAAGGAGGAAAGGTTTACACCAAATTTTAAAAATAATTTTTAGCCTTTAGAAATCTACAAGTTACTGATCTCAAGGCTGCAGTCCCCTTCTATAAATATAACATTAAATCTCTTGTGATTATCAAAGCTTTCCGTACTTCAGAAACAGTTTGTAGTCCTTAAGAGTGCTTCGCCTCAGCTATTTGCGAACCAAAATGGACAGCTTGTTCAGCTTTTACTCTTGTGTAGTGCTAACTAGTACAAGTGCAAAGCAAGGACTTGAGGAAAGAATATTGCTGAGTGCGGCAGGTGCAAGAATCTTTCAAAGACATCATCTGTTACATAAATTATGTACTGTTTAAACTTCCACATTAATTTACACAACTGATTAAAGTTCTGTACAGATATATATCAAATAGTTAGCATATTTTAAAGTTTCCTTAATAACATTACTAATAAGTGGCTGCAATTATATGTTTATTTGCTATAAATGTCTATGAATATCAGATAACCTAATTGTAGTTTATTAACATTACCTCTGAATCACTCCAGTGGAAATGCTGTCTTTCACTGCGTGCATATTGTTTTGGTGCATGAGTATGGAAAGCTGCAGATTGTTTTCCATGATCACAGATTTTAAATATTTACTTGCTAGTGTTGCATAATTTAGCACACTGGAGTTGGAAAGCTGTTTGTATGGTAGCTGATGCCATGTCAGTGTTACAGAATATAATGTCCCTCTGTGGCTTCTACATGAATTTGTAAAGAGGAAAGGTGTTCTGTTCCCTTTTCTAACAATTACAACTTGTTTTTCTATGAGCCCATAAAAAGTCAGTGTTTGTGGTACACTCACAATTTAGTTTTGCATAACTATCAGGGTCATTTTACAAATCCAAGCATTGTTTCTCATGGCCTGTTTAATATATATTCTTTGTGTAATCCAAGTCTTTATGGAAGTTAAAAAAAGCACACAGTTTGCTTGATTCATGCTATTTCTTCCAAGTAATCAGGGAGCTCTGTACTTAAAAAGTGGAACCACAGGCTATTTAATCAGACACGGAAACAGTTGTTTTGTTTGCTCACTTTAATAAATATCTCGTTTGTTTCTTGTCATAACCTGTTTGGTTCTCTGGTGGCCCCACCAAGTGAATGGAAAATAAATAGATTTGGTTACTGTAGTTACTTATTTTTGTGAGAATAATACAAATAAATGAATGCAAACCGCTGAACACATTAAAAATTGAAATGCATGTTTCAAATTTAATATTGAACTTTTCAATTATGCATTTTATCAGGTTTTTGTTCTGGTGCGGTTTCATAGCCTGGTAGTACAGACGGTTATTTCTTTCTTCCTTTCTTACTTCTGGCTTCTACTGTAATTTCCTATGCATGTCAGGCTCTTGTCTGGTAGCCTTTGCTCCAGTAGGATCTGCGGTTCTGCATACGACACAAGATTATACTGAGCAATGATTTAGTATTTCTCTCGACATCTCTCCAGATTGAGGCCTAAGACTGTCCTGTTTCAATTCTTAAAAGGAATCTGAATGTAGAAGAAAATGAGCGCACATATCCCGGGACGTTTTTCAGGCGCCCAATCGTCAGCCCTCAGAGGGCCCTTAAAGCAGATTAAGAGAGAACACTGGGTATTTTCAGCAAAGCAGGGATTCGTGGAGAGATACACTGGTGGGAGCACGAGGACTGTGGCGCGGGGCATGCCGGGTCTTGTAGTTCCCGGAGGCAAGCCTGTAACGTCGCACAGCTTGCTGGGGATTGAAGTCCAATCGTTCGATAGGCGTTGGACGGCCGCGATGCGGTTTGTTTACCGCAGAAACACTGCTTACAGATCCTCTCCGATGTCTCTGCGCTCGCCACAGCAGTGACTGGGTGAGGATGGAGGAGAACAGGTCGAGGAAACGATCCAGATCATAGGCGGCGGCCGCCGCGGGAAGGCGTTTGTGTACGGAAGCGGCCGGCCGCAGATCTTGCATGAAACGTCTCCGAGTATGGTGGCCGACCGGCGACTGGCGCGAGGCCGCAGCACCTAGTACGGTGGCCCGCCAGGGGTGTTCGCGAGGCTATCGCTCCGACTACGGTGGCCTGGCGGGACCTGAGGGTGCGGCGCCGAGGTCCGAGAGTCGGCCCGCGGGCTGCTGCTTGGCGGTGTCCGCCGAGGCTGGAGCGTTTCGCGGTTGGTGGCTCGTGCACGTGCGTTCAGTTCTCCAGGCCTGTTTCGGTGAGGGGTCGACTTGAGGGAGCAGTCGAGGAGGTTGGGACTTAGCTCTGGCCCCGAAAGACCGGGTGTCTTGCGTGGCTCAGTCCGTCGAGGAGACCCTGCGGCCGCGGCGCCTCCCTCTTGCCTCCGCCTGGTGCGGTTCGTCCCGGGCTGCGCCGGGGCAGCCGCCTCCCTTCCGGAGGTCCTAGGGACCTGCGCGACCCGGTCCCCGGCGGGGCTCCGCCGGCCCAGCCTCTCTCGGTGCAGAAAGAAGGACGCCCCGAATCCCCACGGTCCCACGTCCCCCTTCCTGACCCCCGCCCTGGTTGTCACCTTGGCCACCGCTTCAGACGGCGACCCTCGAGCCTGGCTGCGAACGTTTCCGCCCCGGTGTGGACGTGCGCTCGCTCTGTTTGGTGTCTGCTCACCCTCCCACCCCACCCCGTCCGAGGTCGTCTGGGGTCGGGCCCGCAGTGGATTTTTTTTTTTTCTTTTTTTTTCTTTTTTTTGCTACTAGAACTGTGGTCACAATTACATGAATCTGTGTAGGGTTAGAATTCATCAGACTGCCTGCCAATAAAAGTACATTTTACTATATGTTAATTTAAAGTTAAAAATAAGAAATTGGTGGCCATCCCAGAGAGCTGGTCTTCATGTGGCTCATATTTATCAAAATTTTCCAGAGAGTCAAAAAGTGATTTTAAAAATTGGAAAGAATTTGTTAATACACATAAAACAATACTGAAATAATTACACATGACATGAATAAGACACTTGCAATGAAATCAACTGTAATCCAAAAATAAGTGAAATTTTGATTCTTTTGTTTTACACTTGCAGGTTCTGTTATGTCTGTTTTAACAGAAGGCCGCTTAATTTCCCTGTCCGCTTCTCCATCCAATATGTTGTAATTGCATAGGTCATGGAGCCCTGGAATGGAATGCATTCTTGAGGCACACAGCATGGCTGTGCTTAAGAATTTATATTGCTTCTATTTTGTTTTGTTTTTTTTGAGACTGGGTCTCACTATGTAGCCCAGGCTGGCCTTAAACTCTTGGTGATCTCCAGCCTCTGCCTCCTAAGTGCTGGGATTACAGGCATGCACCACCAGGCTGGCCCTGAGCGTGCATTTCTTGTGATTTCTTTGGCTTACATTTTGTTTCGTATTGATTATTTTCTCACGTGGGGTTCATTGCTCTCCTAGCGTTGAGAATATCTTGTCCTAGTGCTGTTTGTATCTGAATTACTTAGAGGGAATTTTCTTCTGTGTTTATTTTCGGACTGTATGTCCTAGTGGAATTTTTGCAGTGGCTTTGTGACAGTTGATAACAGACACAAGGGAGTGATCTTTCCTGCTTGCTTGTGGTTTGTAATTATATTATGAATCACTGAAAGTATCCAGTGGGACTGGAGAGACTCTGAAAGGTTAAATCTATGTATTTTCTGGGTTTCCGGCTGAGAAAGCTCTTCCCTTGAAGAGGGAGGAGTTTCTGGTTAGTCATGTAATCTGATAATATATTGCATTATTGGTTCACTTGCTATAAAATCTTCAGAACTGCTTGAAGTTTAAAAATGGGCAATATAAGGAATTGTATAACTTAGTAAAGAAGAGCTTAAAATCCACTTGTTTGATGCTGTTTTCCTGTAAAACATGATGCAACTATATTGGAAATGTACGTGTGATAATTTATTATGAAGTATCTCTAGGTAGCGTTGGTAAGCAGCTTTTTATACTATTCACAGGCATTTTGTAGAAAGCGATTGTGTTCTTCCTGCCTGGGGACCGTGTAACTCAGATGGGTCTGCAGCTTCTTACTGCGCAAGAAGCTCAGTAATGAGGTCATCATTCAGTGGTGTAATCTCTGCCTGTCGGTACCATATGCATATTGATTCTTGTGTCTTGTCAAGTTAGTGTTATTCCTAAGTGATCTGAATGGCTTCAGCTGTGCTAAAGATTTGGGGCTAAGTGTATAATATTTCAGAATTAATTCACTCACAGAATTCTTTATTGGAAAAGATTATGAAGCTAGACATTCAAACATTTTATGTTCTTGAGATTCTTTTTATTAGTGAATATTTGTGATACATAGTAATTACATTCATTTTTGGGAACTGAACATATATACGTATAATACATGTACAGTTTTTTAAAAATCATTTTTGATCTTTTTACCTCTGCCTGCTGTTTCATCTTCCTGCTTCCTCTGATCTCCTCCAAAACATTTGCCTCCTAAGACTCCTACTTTTGAAATAGATACTTTCCTTGAGATTTTACTCCATAATAGGTATTTATTGAATACTTAATGAAATCATCAGAACAGTCCCTGGGGAGTGTCTTTTTATCCTCATGTTTGTGTTGGGTACTTTTAAGCATCATCTCCGTTAATTATAGCAACTCCCTGGGTTGTTAAGTATTATTTACAGTTGAACAAACTGAAGCTCAAAGAATGTATGTCGTCTAGTCCAGATCTATTTGACTCTTTCTGCTGCACCACAGCTGCAAAGATTTGCTCTCTGTCCTGGGATAACAGTATATTAGGCGCAGATACTGGCTGAGCAGCTGTTCCTAGACAGACACTGTACTGTGCGCTGGGCGCAGAGCAGAGGGGAGGAGAGGAGCGCGTCCCTACCTTGAGGGACCCCGCTGTGAGGGCAGCCCCGACCTACCAGAAGCAGAAAGGAGGGCTGGTGTGTGTCAGACTTTAGGGTTTTAGAATGTGAAAGTTGAAAACGGGTTCACTAGGAAAGGTATCGTGAAGGTGACATTAATCTATAATTGAAATAGCAGGTGGAGGTTTTGTAGGTAGAAGTTAAGAAGAAAGTTTCAGAGGGAAGTATAAGGTGAGCAGAATTCCTAGGGTGAGTTGTACTGGGAGAGATTCAAGAGGGACGTGTAACCACCTGCTTCGTATCTTCAGTTCTTGCCTGTAGACGGTGCCTGGTGTTGTTTGACTCTGGAAAGCACAGTGTTTAATGAAGCTGTGGTGGGAATGAGCAAGGAGCCAGAGTGCCCCAGCGAGGGCGCAGATGGTGGACGCCCGTGCGCCCCGGGAATGTGCGTTATTGCCCGGTCGGTAGGGGTGGGGTAGTGGCCAAGAGAGAAGGGAGGCTTGGTTGCCAGGTTTAAACTCGGGGCTGGGTGAGTTGTAGGTCCATGAGTTCTCTGTGTAAGTTCTAAAATGCACCATTATTTTATGAATCACTAAAAGAAAAAAAATATTGTCAATTAAGCAGACCAGGATTGCCATATCGGTTTCAGTGTTAGAATGTAAAATCCCGTGACCTAGAATTCATGTTACAAGGGACCTCCTCATGATGGTTTGCTTCTGTTTTTCGGACGTTTTGTGTACACGTGTAACCTTTGACACGCAGTCCACCACTCCGCATTGAATCTTTCACTCGCCGGTCCTCTGGGCCGCAGTGACACGGGAGCGAGGAAGCCGTCTCTGCCCTCAGAGTTCACTGTGTCTGCGAGGAGGCAGATGAGGTCAGATACTCAAAGAAACTTCCAGCCCCAGCTCTGCTAAACGCTACGAGGAAAGGACGGGGGTCCTCTTACTGGAGAAGGGGCAGTGCGAGGGGGTTAGGTTGGAGATGGGGGAAGCCATTTAGGAGGTTGTGGGGTTTCCCCAGAGAGACTGATGTTAGCTGGAGACGGTGGTGCTGGCCTCGGAGATGCTTAGGAGGGGATGGTGGGTTAGATGCGAGCCGCGTGGGAAGGGAAGCTATCGCGGGCCACCCCAGGGGGGTATGCTCCTGTGACTGCGTGCACTGGGGTGCAGGTCGCTGAGACCGAGGACACTCCCCAGGGCCAGGTTTAGAGGGCCCCTTCGTTCTCCAGGGTTGCTCACTGTGGCCGCAGTGCTCAAGGTTGGTTTCCTATTGCCCTGTCCTGTCATTGTTTCAGCTCGGTGTACTTGAGGCTGGGGTAGCTGCCCTAAGTCGTCTGGGTTTCTTCCCTCAGATGAGCAGGGGTGAAGTTCTAGGTGAGAGGTTAGTATGTGTTTCGGACCTGTGTGTAACATATTATAACCGTGTATTTGAATGGCTTGCTTGGGGTTTAGCAGTACATTGGGCATCTGGTTAAATTCCGACTTCCTTCTACTGGTACCTATGTAAGTGCAAGTGTACCTCGGGGAACAAAGACCTACTTCTGATTTTCTTCCGTGAAATGTTTCATTTGTTTAATTTTTGAGAGACACTAGATCAGTACAGTCAGTTTAAATTTTTTATTTCAGAGTAAGTTATGGATTCTGTAGAATGAAGAGTGTGGGCTTTGGAGTCAGACTATCTGAATTCCAAGGCTCTTGCTATTTATTTACTAGCATTGTGACCTTACGGAAGTTACATAACATTTCCAAACCTTTACTGTTTCATTTACAAGTTGAGGGTAATAATGATACCTATTTTATCCTTGTGAGGGTTAAATGAGGTGATAATTATGTACCTTTGTCAACAGACTTCTTTGTACAGAGCTGAAGTGTTTATTATGACAGTAATATTGGGTCTGGGATCCTCTAGATTTCTGTGACCATGTGTTAGTTTTAAAACTAAATAGTAAAACTCAGTTCGAAAAAAAGTTGGCGTAGTAGTCAGATTTGGTTTGGAGAAAATCTTGTGTCAGATGATTTGTGAATCTGCTGCTGTCCGAGGTGCCTCCGTGTGCGTGGTC